AATCTCTTGACTTCGTGATCCGCCTGCCTTGGCCTCCCAAAGTGCTGTGTTTACAGGCGTGAGTCACTGCGCCCGGCCAAGGCGTCTCATATTTACTGGGTCTGAATTTATCCCTGACCTACTCATGGAGTAGAAATGACCACATTGTGCCTGCATTAAATAGGTTGAGGAATTTGAATTTCTCAACTTGTGAGGGTTACACCTAATTTATATAAAATAGAACAAGTTCTTCATGCTTAGGACTAGACTTTATGAATGAAAAATCTCAATATTCATCTCTCTATCTTGATAAAAGTCAGCCAGGCCATTTTGTCCGTTTATGTTGGCCTATAAAGGAAGAGATAACAAAGGCACTTAATTTTAAATCTTGTAAAACTTACACTAGAAGTGTAAGTTTTTTTTTCTAAATAGAGAGATGTGCAAAACCATTAAAATAAAATAGGATAAAGCAACCGTAAGCCCCATTACTTAGGTTTCAACTGTCAAAGTCACAAATAGGGAGAAAATCAGTAGAAAATCTACCCTATGTTGATTTGTGAAGTTAAATGAGGTAGGGGTAGGGGCTTATCAATCACCAGCATACTATGATCTTTGTTTAATACTTTTTACAGACCTCACTATCAAGTGCTTTTACAGCAAACAAATATACCATTTTGTAGCCGTTCATAATTATATGATGTTATTTGTTGACATTTTTGAGTCTTAAGTAATATGATTGATAAAACAGGTATAGAAACAGCTTCTCTCATCAATATTATAAAAACAGAAAAGGAAAAAAAGAAAACAGATTTTGTCCAGAAAATAGCTCTATTTTTTAAAGCTAAAAGATTAATTTCTGGTTTACCCTAAGGATCTTCAAAATCCCTAAAATATATAGTTAAAAAAAGAAGAAAAAAACCCCTAACCTTTAAAAACGCGCTATTTCCCAAGCAAGTCTAACTGGCTACTAAAAATGAATTATACATACTCTTAACTAATTATATAGATTTGGAGATAAAATGCTTTGGAACATAATTACTTCTGATTGTGGATTAGTCATTGATTATTGGGAAACGTGGTATCGTCAGTTCTTTTATTAAGTTTGGTTTGAATACATGGATACTTTTCAGGGCTGGTAAATTCAAATACCTGCAAGAGTCAGGCAGGAAAACATAAATTATGAAGTGGGCAGAGGATAAGACAGATATAAAGCAGCTTGTATTTTGACCAACCGTAACCTTTGCCTTTCAGTATTCTGTGAAGGACCAAATAAAACACACCGACAGCCAGAGGTAGCTGCCTGTTTGCAACCTCAGCTGTAGGTCTTTGGTAGTTACCTGAGAGACTTACCTTGGGCATTTAGCTACTCTGAAGACTTTGGGGTTTATGCTGAGATTCGTAATGGTGGTTTCTAGGTTCCAGTTAGAGTGTGTTTTCTGAAGATTGGATATAGGTTCTCTGTGATAATATAGGCATGCTTCACTTAATAGCCACTTACCTAGAACGTAGCCAAGCTAAAGGAAAAGAAAAGGAAAAGGCGATTGAGAAGCCACAGATGTAAAAGTCCATGCGTGACATGTTCACTAGAAGAATCCACTAGCCCTCATCTGTTTTCTTATAGTTTCTATTTTGTGGCTGTTCATAAAGAGCATATAATTTCAGTAATTTGAAGTGAGTTAGAGATGATCTAGTTTAGTCTCCTGCATTACATAGATGGTTAGGAAATTCTGTGGTTATTGGTAGATTTCCTTGTTTCTGACATAGGCAATGAAAATAAGTGACTCTTTAAGTGAAGATACTTCAGTTATCTAGAAGTGAGCTGGACGAACTTTTTTTTTTTGTTTTAACATATCCTTCTTTAAAAATATTTTTTAAATGCTTAGCTGGGGGCCATGAAAACAAGTCACTAGTTAGGTTTAGCCTGCAGTGTGAGTTGGTTGCCACCTGTTCTAGAACATGGCTGTCCAGTAGAAACATTTTGTGGGTGACTGCAGAACCCTTGAAATGTGGCTAGTATAACTATGGGGAAAAAAATCTTTAATTTAATTTGAATTTACATAGTCACATGTGACTGACTAGTGGCTACCATATTAGACAGTGCAGATCTAGAAAATTTACTGTGGGATGAATAAAATGAATAAAGCCATATGCTTTAAATTTTTTAGATTGCTTGCATTTATATTTCATTTTAACCACCTATTAATCGGGAATTTTCAGCTTGCACTTTTCATTTTTCCCTTTTCCAGCTTGCTCTGTTTCCATAATAAAATCTGGTGGAAAGATTTTCCAGAATAGCTTCCTGTCTGACCATACTTTTTCTCCTCATTTCAGTGAGGCTGAACTGGAGGAGGTGTTGACTTTTTATACCCAAAAGAACAAATCTGCCAGTGTCTTCCTGGGGACTCACTCTAAAAGTTCTAAGAACAACAACAGTTATTCTGATAGTGGGGCAAAAGGTGGTAAGTGTGTTGGTTACTTAATGAAAAATAAGAAGAACAAGTGAAGAAATGAGAACTGCAAAGGAGAATGAGGAATAATGTGTTGGCTAATAAGCACTAATAGTCTCCAAGGTAGTGAGACTTTGCAACGTGGGGAATGGGTGGAGCATGGGGGATAGTACTTTCTGTCCTAAAAGCAGAAGAGGGCCATGGTCTGATTTTTTTTTTCATGATAATTAACAGCAGAGAGCTTTTCAAGAAAAGCTACTCATAGCTGGTATTTAGTGAACACCTATCTTACTGTCTGCTGGACATGGTCTTATTTTTTACTTTCCAAAACCACGTAGAGTGGGCACTTTTACAAAACCTCTTTACAAATTAGAAAATAAGCTAAGAGAGACTGAGGAGCTTGCCCAAGCTTATTCTTTATTATGCAGGGACAAGGAATTTGATCCATAGCCTGCCTGACTCAAAGTTTGTGCTCTTAATCTACCTTTCTGTCTCTCTTAATGATTATTTCTCACTCTTGTAAAGTTTGTTACTTTCTCTATGGTAACATCATTGGCATTTGGAGCAGGATAATTCTTTGTTGTATGGGGCTGTTCCGTACCTGGTGTCTAATATACTTGGTTCCAACTCTGTCATGACATTAGCTTCCCTCAGCCATTGTGATAATCCAGAATGCCCCCATATGTTTCTAAAACTTCTTACTGCTGGGGAATTCCAGGTTGGGGATTTTGTAATTGGATATGGACATGCTGTCTAGCTCATGTAACCAAGATAAAAAAAAAAAAAAATAGCAGTGACATACTGTTATAAACAAAGCTCTGTGCTTTAAATATGAAATTAAAACCTAGATGGAAGCCTAAGGCGTAGGTAATCAATCTACTGATTTTTTCAGTGTGCTAAGCACTAGATTCAAAGATGGAGATTTCTTCCCTGCTCTTAAGGTTATGATAATCTAATGCAGAAATAGCCAGGAAGATTAGTCATTTAAAATGTGGAATGAATTTTCCCAAAGAAACAGTGTTAGTGTTTTAAAAACTGATTTGATTCATAGGCTAATCCGCATAAGCCTATTTAACTCACTGTATAATTGAATTATTTTATTACTGGAAGTCCTGAATCCAGCCCTTTTTTTCTAACTTCATTCACCTGTTCATTCCTTCTATACTTATTTTTTTTACTTAGCGGCCTATTACGTGTTAGGCACTTTCATGGTTGCTAGGGATACAATGACCAGGACTGTCGCAGTCTTTAACTTTATAAAGTTTATTGTCTGGTAGATAAAGTCAGGTGAGTAAATATAAGAAGAAAGCTGGCAGAGACTCTGAAAAGCTCCTATAAGAGCATTGGCTAAGGGAGGCAAAGGAATTCTTACAATAAGGTTGGGATAGAGAAAAGTGTGCTCATTCGGGGAGGTGGGGGCCTAGATGGAAGTTCATCTAACAGTTTCTCCCCTGGCAATAATGTGGAAGCCCTAACAGCATGTAGTGGCAACATCTTTTATACTGATGGGTCATTCAAAATTCTAAAGTGTGTGTTTTAAGGACTATCTTTACATAAGATCTACACCTGTCTAAATCTATTAAGGATAACTAGGGGACAGTGGGAAGGCTTCAATCAAGGAAACAACATTATGACATTTGATAGTATGGTATCTGGGCTCATTTCAAACATGAACCAACAAGCGTGTGACAGTGTGACCACTGCTGTTGGCGATGGAGGGGAGAAAATTCATATGTCTTTATTCTTCCACTCTGAAAGATGATTCATAAAATTGGCCTTTCTTAAGTTTTTGTATGATTCTAGCCCTTGACATGATTTTGGAATACTTTTATATATGATTAGCTCTGGCTATTCTGTTTCAAAATTCTATTGTGGAGAAAAAATTAGGTGTTAAAGTCAAAATTTTTTAGAATGATACTATTATTGAATATACTGATCAACCTATCTCCCGTGAAACTGAGGAGTTTAAGATACAGAGCCATCGCAGTATCCAGGCATTATGCCAATGAATAGTGGGACTGCTTTTGCTGTGTCGGGGTAGCTTCGCTGCCCCATACGTATTACGACTTGGCTCCAGGAGCTACTGCCAACCAACTTGGTCTCTTAGAACCCTCAGTCTGAATTCCTGGCATAAGCACCTGATGGCCCTTAATATTTTTTTCTCCCAGATATGCCCTAGCTTGTTAGCTGTCCATGAATGGGCCCTAGGTTTGGGTACCTTTTTCTGGTTCAGCTAACTATAGCTGGGATTGGGTATAGCTGGGAAACATTTAATTGGTTGCTGACTCCATAGGGCTGTGGGTGTGTTCATCCTTGGAAAAGTGTGGTGAGACATGTCATATTTTCCAAGCATTGATTAGAAGTTGTGTTATATTTTTGGAAATAAAATGATATACAGAACAATGGACTTGCAATTGATTATAAGAGAGTTTTAAGTTCAGTATTTCTCATTTCAGATCACCCTGAGACAATAGTGGAAGAAGGGAAAATAAAGCCGCCTAAGCAGCAACAGGCAACAGAAATTCATTCTGATAAATTATCTCGTGAGTGATTTCAAACCTACCTAGATTTGCTGCTCTGTGATAATTCCCTAAAAGACGAAAATAGTCATCAGATATTATTTCTAGAGCATGAAACATTACCCCAAAGAAATTATTTTTCTTTGTTACTCCTTTTCCCTTAGAATTTTCTCTTACCTGTCGATAAACTATTTTTCTTCCAAAGACTTTTTTATTTTCTTAAGTCTAGAAGGATAAAAAGGAGAGTGAGAGGAATTAGCTGTTGCTAGTGGAGACTTTGTCTTGATGTCCTAACGTGTGAAACATGCCTGCTCTTTTTCATAGTGGCTGTCCCAACTGCAGCTTTTAGAAAGGACTAAAAGTAAATTCCTATTTCTGTTTTCAGGTCATTTCTGATAGGCAAAAATCATTAAGTTTATGATGAATACTCATTAAAGTCTGTGTTTTTCATGATTTCTGTTTCATGCCAAGATGATTGTGATATTTATGTTTTAAAAACATTTATGTTTTATAGAGATTGTATGTCCATTTTTCCTAAAATGATGTCTTGTCTTGTTTTGTTTTTAATAGGATTTACCACTTCAGCAGAAAAAGAGGCTAAATTAGTTTATACCAATTCTTCCTCTACTTTCTCTGGTCCTGCTGCTACTCTGCAGAAAATTCCCAACACCTCTGGGAATTCTGACCTCTCTCCAGGGCCTGGCCACCATTCTTTATCTCAAATTCCTTCAGCTATCCCTAGCATACCTCACCAGCCAACAATTTTACTGAACACAGTCTCTGACAGTGCTTCTCCCTCCCTCCATCCTGGGGCACACAACATCCCAAGCCCTGCTGGCCTGCCACGCTGTCGATCAGGAAGTTACACCATTGGCCCCTTTTCCTCTTTCCAAAGTGCTGCACACATCTATAGCCAGAAACTGTCTCGTCCCTCTTCAGCAAAGGCAGGTGAGTGAGAGAACGAAAGACAGTCCACAGTGTTAGCTCCTCCCCAGCCCCAATAAAGAAAGAATGTCATCTCTTTTCTTTGCCTTTTTTTTTTTTTTTTTTTTTTTTGGAAATGGAAAGGCACACACTCTGCATTGTTCTGATGTGACTAAGGAAGACACTTGCATTGCATCCAGTAGCATGCATTCATTGATACAAAATGAAACAGGACTTCTTTTAGGTACTGGAGATAAAGAGATGAATCTGACAAGGCTTCTATTCACTAGGAGCCTACAGCGTAGTCAAGAGATTGCCTATCATAGATACCATTGACCTATAAGTGTGCTATATGCATTTCTGATTCAAATAGTTATTCCCAACATCAGACAAGTTAGTTTTTAAGTCAAGAATGACCTGAATAAATAACCAAAGAATTCATAGAATAGGATATATAATTTTAACCAAAATAAACCCATATTATCAGTGAAATTTGTCCTCCATTTTTTAATAGCTTTATTGAGGTATAATTTACATTCCATCAAATTCACCCTTTTAAAGTCTACAGTTCAGTGGTATTTTTTGTATATTCACAGACTTGTGCAATCACCACCACTATCTAATTTTAGAATACTTTCATCATCTCCAAAAGAAACCCCGTACCTGTTAGCAGTCACTATTTCTTCCTCCCCCAGTCCCTGGCAGCCACTGATCTACTTTCTGTTTCTACAGATTTGTCTATTCTGGACATTTTATATAAGTCAAATCATATAATAGGTGGTCTTTTGAGAATGGCTGCTTTCACTTAGCATAATGTTTTTCAGGTTCATCCACGGTATAGCATGAACTTCATTCCCTTTATGGCTGAATAATGTTCCATTGTATGGGTATACCACAATTTGTTTAGCCATTAATTGTTGGGCATTTGATGTGTTTATTATACCTTTTGGCCATTATGAATAATGATGCTATGAACATTTGTAAGTTTTTGTGTGGACATATGTTTTTATTTCTCTTGAGTATATGGTAGAGTGGAATTGTTGGGTCATATGATAACTTTTGGTATTTCCTCTTTTTGAGGAACTTGTAAACTGTTTTTCAAAGTGGCTATGCCCTTTTACTACCAGCAGTATTTGAGGGGTCCAATTTCTCCACATCCTTGCCAACTCTATGAATTGTCTCTGTTTTTGATTTTCACATCCTAATGGGTATGAAATAGTATCCCTTTTTTGTGGTTATGACTTGCATTTCCCTGATGGCTAATGATGTTGTATATCTTTTCATTTGCTCATTGGGTATTTGTATATTTTCTTTGGAGGAATGTCTGTTTAAATTCTTTGCCATTTTAAAAATTGGTATGTTTTCCTTTTTATTGTTGAGTGTAAATGTTCTTTATATACGCTAGATAAAAGCCCTTTGTCAGATATGATTTAGAAATATTTTTTCCCTATTTGATGGTTATCTTTTGACTTTCTTGAAGCACAAAAGTTTTAGATTTTAATGATGTCCAACTTATCTGGTTTTTTTTTTCTATTGTCACTTGTGCTTTTGGTATCATATCTGGAAACTATTGCCTAATCTCGTTTCACAGAGACTTCTTTGTATGTTTTGTTTTGCTTTTTGAGACGGAGTCTCGCTCTGTCACCAGGCTGGAGTGCAGTGGCGCGATCTCAGCTCACGGCAACCTCCACCCACCGGGTTCAAGTGATTCTCTTGGCTCAGCCTCCTGAGCATCTGGGACTACAGGCACACGCCACCACACCCAGCTAATTTTTGTATTTTTAGTACAGACGGGTTTTTACCGTGTTGGCCAGGATGGTCTCCATCTCTTGACCTCATGATCTGTCCACCTTATCCTCTCAGAGTGCTGGGATTACTGGTGTCAGCCACCATGCCCAGCCCCTCCTATGTTTTATAGTTTAGGCTCGTATATTTAGGTCTTTTGTCCATTTTGAGTTAATTTTTCTATATGGTATGAAGTAGGAGTCTTAACTTCATTCTTTTGCATGTGAATATTCAGTTATATCAGCATCATTTGTTGAAAAGGGTATTGTTTTCCCATGGGATTGTTTTGGTGCTCTTCTAAAAAATTAGTTAATTAAATGTGTAAGGGTAATTTTTAGGGCCTCAGTTTTATTCCATTGATCTGGGTGTCTGCCCTTATGCCAATATCACGTTATCTTGATTGCTGCAGCATTATAGTAAGTTTTGAAATCACCAAGGATGATTGTTCCAACTTCACTCTTCTTTTTCAAGATTGTTTAGGCTGTTCTGGATCCTTTGCATTTTCATATGAATTTTAGGATCAGCTTGTCAATTTCCTCAAGAAAAGGCAGATGGGATTTTGATAGGATTATTATCTGTGGATCAATTTGGGGAGTATCTTAACATCAGTCAAGATTTAAACACTAGTAATAGCTATGTTAAGGTGAGTTGCAGCTAAGACGTGTTTTATAAATAGCCACTCTATATTTCTTAATACCTGATTTCAAATGAAACAGATATTGTAATATGCAGCTTGAATCAGAGATATTAAATGGTCTACTTTAATAAGTCATAAATATGAGTATATGCATATGTATATATCTCTGCTAATTCTGGGTGATATTGTTCTTGTGATTTAATTTTCTAAAATCAGTGATAATAGTGATCAGTAATATTCTGGTTTGAACTGTTTTTCCCCATGGAAGAAATTCAGTAAGATCAGTGTCTCCAGTGGCGATGTTATCATAAAAACTTTTTCAAAACCCTCCCTTTTGATCCTTTCCAAGAAAAGGGTAGGGACCGAAAGAAGCTGGTCAGTTCATAAATATTTTCTGATATCTGTTGTGATTTCTTTTTTGACTCTTGAATTATGTATATTGTTTAATTTTAAGGTAGCTGGGATTCTTTATTTTTTGTAATTGATATTTAGCTTATTTCCACTGTGATTAAAGAAATATTCGGAATGGATTGAACAGTAGTAGACAACAATATATTGACAAAAATATATAATCAACAGCAGCCTATAATTGATTGGAGTTAAATTTTTCTGTGGTAATTCAATGGTTTTGGAATAGGAGTAAGATATTATTTAACTATAGACTTAAAAATTTAATATACAGCATCAAATTTCAAAGGTCATCACTAAAAGAATAAAAATATAAATTCTAATCTTATGGGGAGAAGAAAAATGAATTGATAATAAAAAGCATACAGAAACTTAGGTTTATGCAAGCAAGAAGCATAGAAAAGGCAAGATAAATAGAAATTTAAAACATAGTAAATCAGTTGGGTGCAGTGGCTTACACCTGTAATCCCAGCACTTTGGAAGGCCAAGGTGGGCAGATCACATGAGGTCAGGAGTTCAAGACCCGGCTGGCCAAAATGGTAAAATCCTGTCTCTACCACAAATGCAAAAATTAGTGGGGTGTGGTGGCGCGGGCCTATAGTCCCAACTACTCAGGAGGCTGAGGCAAGAGAATCGCTTGAACCTTGGAGGCAGAGATTGCAGTGAGCCAAGATCTTGCCACTCCACTCCAGCCTAGGCAACAGAGCAAGACTCCATCTCAAAAAAACAAAACAAAACAAAAACATAGTAAATCAAGTCCAAATATATCAAGAATCAAATAAACATGAATAGGTTAAACTTGCCAAATTTTTAAAGCTTTAAAAAATCCAACTGCATGCCGTTTACCAGAGGCACACACCTAAACTTAAGGACACAATGTTTAAAAGCAAAAAGTTGAAGAAATAAATACCAGATTAGTACCAACCAGAAGACAGTTGGTATGGTTGCATTAATATATGCTAAAATAAACTTGAAGGTATAAAACTTTCCTACAGATAAAGAGTAACTGCATAATGACAAAAAGTTCATTTCAGTCAAAAGTTAAAATAATTCCATAAGTGTCTTACCTAATAAAATAGCCTCCAAATATGTAACACGAAAATGGAAACAACTGCATGAAGAATCTGTAAATCCACTGTCTTCGTGGGTGATTTTCACATACTTCTATTAATTATTAATATACTAAACAGATTTTTAAAACGCTGAAAGGATAAAGAGGATTTGAACAAGATGATAAGTTTATCTACTGATAATATGTAGGACTGTGCACCCAATAATTAGAGAAACACCTCGAGCATATGATATATTTCTAAAAATCTGTCATATCCTACATCATAAACAGGAGAACAAATTTCAGAGACTTGGTATCACACAGCCACATTCTTTGTCCACACTGCAGTTAAGTTGAAAGTCAGTAACAAGAAGATATAAAAGAAATTCCTGTGTATTTCAAAATTTAAAAGTCAGAAGAAATCCTAATGGATAAATTACAAAGTATTAGAACTGAATGATAATGAAAAGCCTGTATGTCCAGATAAGTAGAGTGCAATGCAAGTCAGTATTTGGAGGGAAATTTACTGCCTTAAATAATTAGAGTTGGTGTGCACCTATAGTTCCAGCTCCCTGGGAGGCTGAGGCAGGAGGATTGCTTGAGGACAGGAGTTCAAGCCCAGTCTGGGCAACATAGAGAGATCCCATTTCTAAAAATAAAAATAAATAAATACTTATATTTGAAAAGAAGACAGGTGGAAATTAATGTGCTAAATGTCTGGCTTTAGACATTATAAAAACAGTATCATAAATCTAAATGGAGAAAGAAATAGTAAAGATAAGAGCAATAATTACAGATTTCAAAAATAAGGCACAATAGAGGGTAGTAAATCCAAAAGTGATTTTTTGAAAAGCCTAATAAAAAGGACAAACCTCTGGGGACACCTATCAAGAAAAAACAGAAAACATGGATAAATAATATAAGGAGTGGAAAAGCAGACATAAAAAATATAAATATACCCAAAATGACAAAAATAATGTAATCTTGTTAACTTTATTCTAAAAAAATTGAAAGCTTAGATAAAATAGGCCAAACTCATACAAACTATAACTTATGTAAAATTTACTCAAGAAGATGAAGAAAGTCTGAATATTCCTCTAAGTGTTAAAATAAGTGATAACAGTAGTTGAAAGTCTTACAGAAAACATACAGCCTAGATTTATGGGTAAGTTCTAATCTTTCATGAGGTGGATAATTTCAATATATTTTTTAAAAACTCTTCTGGAGTGTAGAAAAAGAGAGAATTTTTCTCAACTTATTCTGTATGGCTAGTTTCATCTTTATAATAAAACCAATTAAGGACAGTATTAAAGAGGAAAATTACAGACTGGCTTCACTTACGAGCACAAATGCAAAAATTCGAATCAAAATAAAAGCCAATCAAATCTGGCAACATCTAAAAGAGGTAGTACACCATAAGCATGTTTATTCAAGGATTGTAGGAGGGGTTTAACATTAGCAAACTTATAAATGTCATTTGCCACATTAATATAATAAAGAAAAAAACATATTTTTCATCATGGTACATGGAGAAAAAGAATTTGATAAAATTCTGCATTCATTCATGATGATAACTCTCAGCTCACTAGGAAGCAAAGGAGACGCTGAACCTGAAAAAGCCTGTCTGCCGAAAACCTACAAGAGCTACCAGCCTAAATGTGGAAATGTTGAAAGCATTCTCTTTAACATTAAGAACAAGTAAGGATGCCCACTATTATTCCTTCTGTCCAATGTTTTACTAGAGATCAGAACCAACATAGTAAGATAAGAAAAAGAAATTGTAAGCATAAGGATCAAAAAAGAGGTAACAAAATTTTGTATTTGCCTATAATATATTGTCGACATAGAAAACAAAATAATTGCATATATATTTTAGAAATAGTTATTTTAGCATAAGATCAACATTTAAAAATTAGTTACTTTCAAAATTACTAGCCAAAAGTGATAGGAAACAGTTTTTTGATTTTAATAAAATTAAATAACAAAATTTATCATTTTAACTATTTTAAGTTCAGTGGCATTCAGTACACTCACATTGTTGTGCAGCCATCACCACCAATAAAAGTATTTTTTAAAAATATCACTAATAATAGCATAAAAACTATGTCACCTAGGAATGCATTTAGAAAAGAAAGGAAGTTTTACAAGACTACATTGAAAGACATAGATATTAGACGTTAAAGAAAACTTAAATAAATGGATACATATACCATGTACATGCATAGGAAGACTCAATATCATCAGTTTTCATTTTCATCACATCGATCTCTGTATTCACTATAGTTCCCAACCAAAATCTCACTAAGTTTGTCATTGAATTTGGTAAGCCTATTCTAAAATGATAGTAGAAAGGCAAAGAGCCAAGAATAGTGACAACCTACTGAAGAAGAAAATAAGGTGGAGGAGCACCTTATTAATATAAAGGTCTGATACTTAAGACAAACAGTGTGGTATTGGCAAAGGCGCAGACAAACTGACCAGTGGAACAGAATAGAAAGTTAGATACAATCACGTAGAAAGATGGAACTTTGATGTATGACAGAGATGGCATTGTAGATCAGAGGAAAAGGAGAGATTTCTCGATAAATGCTCCTGGGGTAATTGGTTATCCCTACGGAGAAAGATGCAATTAGATTCCTGCCTCACACTATGTATAAAATCAATTTCAGATGTAAAACTTCCATAATGAAATAAAATAATAAAGGAGACCCTCATTAAGAACTTGTGGTATGGAGCACAAGTAAAAACAAAAGCACAACTCATATAAGTCAAAAAGGAAAAGATAGCCCAATAGAAAAATGATATCAGAAAAGAGGTAACATGTTCCACATCATTATTAATCAGGTACATGAAGGCTACAGTGATATTTTACACCATCTTAGGGAAGAATTAAGACACTTGACAATACTAAGTGTTAAACAGGCTACAGATCAACAGAAATTATTTTCTTTTTCTTTTTAAATTTGAGACAGGGTCGCAATCTGTCACCCAGGCTGGAATGTAGTGGTGCAGTCATGGCTCACTGCAGCCTTGACCTGGGGCTCAAGCAATCCTCACACCTCAGCCTCCTGAGTAACTGGAACTATAGGCCCATGCCACCACACCCAGTTAATTTCTTGTAAAGAAGAGATCTCACTTTGCTGCCTAGTCTGGTCTCAAACTTCTGTGTTCAAGTGGTCCCCCTGCCTCAGCCTCCCAAAGTGCTGGGATTACAAGTGTGAGCCACTGTGCCTGGCCCAGGAATTTTTTTATCTTGTTTGTTGGAGTATAAAAGTACCACTTTGGTATTATTACATAAACTTGAAAAATTTTACGTACTTTGTGACCCAACAATTCCACTCCTGCGCATATACAAGAGGAGTTCTTCCATATGTGCACAAGCAGATGTATGCAAGAGTGTTTATGGCTGCGTTGTTTGTAATAGCAATATGCTTGAAATAACCACAATATCTGTCAATAGGGAAACAGAAACATAATTTGTGATGTAATTACAAAATGGAATGCTAGACAGCAAGGAAAATGAATGACTTTCAGCTATACTTAACAAGGATGAATCTTGGAAGAGTAGTGATGAATAGCAAAGCAAATCCCAGAAAATGTCTATAGTAGAATACCATTTTTGTAGATATCAAAAACAAGCAAAATTATCTAGTATTTTGTTTGTATATGCATGTACACACAAATATATTTGATAAAACTATTTAAAAAAAAAGAATGAAAAAGGGAGATTAAGAATGGGGAGGAACAACCATATAGGTTAGTGCTATTGTTGATAATGTAGTTCCTGGGTTGGGTAGTAAGTTCACAGGTGTTCATTATAATATTCTTATAACTATATACAGCTATTATAAGTATTTTATATGTACTATATAATATAGTAAACATGAAAAAGTTACAGGTTTAGAAAATCAGTTGTGTATACAGAATGATCATTATTATGTTAGCATTAATTTTAAAAAAACAAAGGAAATATATTATTTCTACTTTTCTGAGCTAAACAAATTTTTTTGAAAGGATGTGACTTTTACAATCAGGAAAAACAGAAATTTTTATTTTATTTTTAGAGACAGATTCTCATTTTGTCACACAGGCTGGAGTGCCATGGCATGATCATAGCTCACTGTAACCTTGAACTCCTGGGTTTAAGCAATCCTCCTGCCTCAGCCTCCCAAGTAGCTGGACTACAAGCATGAGCCACTGTGCTCAGCTGAGTCATGATTTTATGTTAAATAATTTCTTTTTTGCCAGAATTTTAGTGGTTAAATAATAGAATGCTCTGATTTTACAGTTGAAAGAAGAAAATTTATATCTGAAAGGGAAATAAGTCATTTGAAAATATAAGATTATTGTTGTTTTTCTCAGTACACTCGATTTTACTTTTATCTCCTTTTCTTTTTTTGAGCTTTTTAAGTATTGTGGATGATTTGACAGTGGATGCCACAGACTGTTGACAAGTACAGTTACATAACAAGAAAAACAAGAATTATAATGAGTTTCAAAGATATGTTTTATATTCAGTAAGATTAGTAAATTCTAGGATTATTCCCACTACATGTAATGAAAATCTTTGTGAAGCTTTCATTATAAAGCAAAAACACATTAATAAATAATGCATGTGGCAGTTTGGTAATCGGAAGAGTTTCTAGGTTATGATAAGCATTTATTTTTGTGATCATTTGAAGATAGTTTATTACTCCTATATTATTAAAGATCCCTAGGGTTCAGTAAAGTGTCTGTGGACCTGAGATTTCTGTCATTATCCTAATTTTTTTCACGGCTTTTTTCCTGAGTGAGTGAAAACTTTTCTTCGTTTTAGCAGGATCGTGCTATCAAAACAAGCATCATTCGGGAATAGCCAAAACACAAAAAGAGGGAGAAGATGCTTCTTTATATAACAAACGGTACAACCAGAGTATGGTGACAGCTGAACTTCAGCGACTCGCTGAGAAGCAGGCAGCGAGACAGTATTCTCCATCCAGCCACATCAACCTCCTCACCCAACAGGTACAGATGGTCTGGAGTGCCCAAGAGCTCTTTGGACCTGAGGATAGAATTAATGACAGCGTACTTTGTCCTTCCCTGTCTTTGCTATGCCCATATACTGATGCCTTTTGAATGAGTATTATTAATTGTGGTTTCAGGCTAAAGAACCTGAAAGTTGTTCCTCTTCAATTTTAAAGAAAATAACTTTCTGTTACAGGCATTGTGAAGTAAGTCTGCTATTAACTATGATGTACCTATTTCATGGATAAACATAATTGAATATTCATCTGTAAATACAATTTTAAAGGATCTTTAAAAATAACTTCTTTGGTAAATTTTTCTAGTGAGTTCCAGTCTTATAAATCTTTTTACCAGAATTTTATAGCATTACCCTTAAAAATTTTTTTTTCTATATTGCCTTTTATTTTATGATCTCAGAATGTTTTATGGGTAACTGATTAATTACATATTTTATTATACCCTTATCCAATACAATATAATTCTCCCTATTTCATAGATGGGGGAACCTGAGGCTGAAAGAAGCGATGTGATCAAGGTCATTCAGCAAGCTGGATGGATAGAAATAAATAACAGGATATTATCCTTATGTTATATAGATATTAACAAGCTTGCAACATAATGAAGGTAGATGACACTTTCAAGAGCTTTGTGACTTCTCTTTGTCCTTCTTGCTGGTTATTCCTATGGTGTTTAATTGAAGGAAAAGCCATATCTCTTTCTTATTCCTTAATGCGTAATGGCATCAAAGTCCTCCAAAGGAATTATCATAATTTAACTCCACAGTTACATTTTGCTATGTTGCTAATGTGTCATATTCCTTAATTGGTAGTAACTCTGTAGTGATAATCAAGTCTAGAAAAAAAATGAAGCTGAAAATTACTTTAAGTACATGCTAAAAGTAGGCAACACACTGCTCCCTGGTGGTACCCTACTTCTCTGTATAAAATTTAGGACCAAAACTAAAGCTAAGCCTCTCATGGACTTAGCTTTACTTCAGCCTCTTCCCAGCGTGTGAAGCAGTAATTATTTTCTTTCTCAAATCCTTGGTTGTTTGAAGGGAGTAAAGAAGAAGGCCTAATGTGAAATAGGAAGCAAAAGAGACAAGAACAGTGCTGATTCTTGAAGGGAGTTGGATGGACTTTAGTGATAGAATGATGGGAAGAGGGAATAGCATGTCAAAAGTACAATGGGAAGAAATTTTCAAATTAAGTGGCTATAAGATGGGAAAGGCCTCTGATCTACTACACTTTTATCATTGGGTCACTAACTAGAATATATGTTTTCAGTTTATAAATGGATAGCTAGAAGCACCAAGACATTGAGATTTTGTGATTGTAGTGAAAAGCAAAAACCCTAAAACATAGGCAATATTAGTGCTTACCTATTTCTAACTCCTATCATTTGCTAGACTGCAAAGCCTACAAAGTGAAAAGATTCTAATCCTGTAGGAATCCAAGGTGACTGTATCCTGACTGGGAAGTCATCCCCTTTCAGTTCATTTTTTTCATCTATAAAGAAATCCAGTGCCGGTGAATTAAAAGTCCATCAGACTCTGGTTCGTAGGAATCTGAACTTGCCATTAGATGTCAGTGTTAACTTTTAGAGTCTTGGTAATGGGGTGGTCAGTGCTTGGTACAGTACTGAGGGAAGTGCTGTAGGATGTAATAAGCATGTTGGAGTAATGGAGAAAGAGCTGGATTAGCCATCCAGAGACTTGCCACTGACTCCTGTGTGATCTTGAGCAGTTCCCTTTCTTGTTTTTCTGACACTGATTCCTGCGTGATCTTGGGCAGTTCACACCACTGTTCTGTTCTGCCACTGACTAGCTGTGTGATCTTGAGCAGTTCACTCAACTTCTCTTAACCTCAGGGTCTTCAGTGGTTGATGAGGAAAATACTACAGGGTCATGAGGATAGTATGCAAAACCTCTAAATGCAATATATGTAGAAAATATTGTTATTTCAACTATAAAAGGCTTTCAGTAATAAAATAGCTTTTAATTTGGTTAGAAACAAGTATTTAGATAAAGTGTACTGTTTAGTAGTTTTTCAAATATTATTGTGGGAACATAGTAGGTACATATATTTATGGTGTACATATTTTTTTTTATTTCAGAAGGTTTTTTGGGGAAGTGGTAGTGCTTGGTTACATGGATGAGTTCTTTAGTGGTGATTTGCAAGATTTTGATGCACCTATCACCCGAGTAGTGTACACTGTACCCAATGTGCAGTCTTTTATTCCTCACCCTCCTCCCACCCTTCTCCCCAAGTCCCCAGAGTCCATTATCTCATTCTTATACCTTTGTGTCCTCATAGCTTAGCTCCTACTTATAGGTGAGAACAGATGATGTTTGGTTTTCCATTCCTGAGTTACTTCACTTAGAGTAATGCTCTCCAACTCCGTCCAGGTTGCTGCAAATACCATTATTTTGTTCCTTTTTATGGCTGAGTAGTATTCCATGGTTTATGTATATACACACTACATTTTCTTTATCTACTCATTGATGCAACTCAGGTTGCAAATTGTGCTGCTATTAATATGCATGTGCAAGTATCTTTTTCATATGATGACTTTTTTTTCCTCCAGGTAGATACCCAGTAGTGGGATTACTGGATCAAGTAGATCTACTTTTAGTAGATCTACTTTTAGTTCTTTAAGGAATCTCCATACTGTTTTCCATAATGGTTGTACTAGTTTACATTCCCACCAACAGTGTAAAAGTGTTCCCTTTTCACCACTTTCATGCCAACATCTATTATTTTTTGATTTTTTAATTATGGCCGTACTAGCAGGAGTAAGGTACGTATTGCCGAAATTGTGGTTTTGATTTGCATTTCCCTGATAATTAGTGACGTTGAGCATTTTTTCATATGTTTGTTGGCCATTTGTATATCTTCTTTTGAGAACCGTCTATTCATGTCCTTAGGCTTTTTGAAGGGATTGTTTTTTTTCTTGCTGACTTGTTTGAGTTCCTTATAGATTCTGGCTGTTCGTCCTTTGTCAGATGAATAGTTTGTGAAGTTTAACTCCCATTGTGTGGGTTGTCTGTTTACTCTGCTGATTATCTATTTTGCTGTGCAGAAGCTTTTTAATTTAATTAAATTCCATCTATTTATCTTTGTTTTTGTTGCATTTGCTTTTGGGTTCTTGGTCATATAGTCTTTGCCTAAGCCAATGTCTAGAAGGGTTTTTCTGATGTTATCTTCTAGAATTTTTGTGGTTTCAGGTCTAAGATTTAAGTCTTTCATCTGTCTTGAGTTGATTTTTGTATAAGGGGAGAGATGAGAATCCAGTGTCATTCTTCTACATGTGGCTTGCCAGTTATCCCAGCACCATTTGTTGAATAGGGTATCTTTTCCCCAGGTTATGTTTTTGTTTGCTTTGTTGAAGATTAGTTAGCTAGGAGTATCTGGCTTTATTTCTGCTTTCTCTATTCTGTTCTGTTGGTCTATGTGCCTGTTTTTATGCCAATGCCATGCTGTTTTGACGACTGTATTCTTGTAGTATAGTTTGAATTTGGGTAGTGTGATGCCTCTATATTTGTTCTTTTTCCTTAGTTTTGTTTTGGCTGTGCAGGCTCTTTTTTGGTTCCATACGAATTTCAGGATTGTTTTCTCTAGTTCCGTGAGGAATGATAATGGTATTAAATTGCATTGAATTTGTAGATTGCTTTTGGCAGTGTGGTCATTTTCACAGTGTTGATTCTACCCATCCATGAGCATGGGATGTGTTTTCAGTTGTTTGTGTCATCTGTGAATTCTTTCAGCAGCGTTTTGTAGTTTTCCTTGTAGAGGTCTTTCATTTCCTTGGTTAGGTATATTCCTAAGTATTTGATTTTATTTTTATTTTTTGCAGCTGTTGTAAAAGGGGTTGAATTCTTGATTTGATTCTCAGCTTGGTGGCTGTTGGTGTATAGCAGTGCTACTGATTTGTGTAATTGATTTTGTATCCTGAAACTTTACTGAATTTATTTATTAGATCTAGGAGCCTTTTGCATGAGTCTTTATGGTTTTCTAAGTATGTGATCATATCATTGGCAATCAGCAACAGTTTGACTTCCTCTTTACTGATTTGAATGCCTTTTATTTCTCTTGTCTGATTGCTTTGGCCTAGGACTTCCAGAACTATGTTGAATAGAAGTGGTGAAGTGGGCATTCTTGTCTTGTCCCAGTTTCCAAGAAGAATACATTCAACTTTTCCTCATTTGGTATAGTGTTGACTGTGGTTTTGTCATAGATGGCTTTTATTACCTTAAGGTATGTCCATTTTATGCCGATTTTGCTGAGGATTTTAATCATAAAGGGATGCTGGATTTTGTCAGATGCTTTTTCTGTGTCTATTGAGATGACCATGTGTTTTGTGTCTTTGATTCTGTTTATGTGATATATCACATTTCTTGACTTGCATATGTTAAACCATTCCTGAATCCCTGGTATGAAATCCACTTGATTATGGTAGATTATCTTTTTGATAAGCTGTTGGATTAAGTTAGTGATAGAAACCGCAATTACTTGTGCACCAACCTAGTAATTTGTTGGGGATTTTTGCATCTGTGTTCATCAGAGATATTGGTCTGTAGTTTTCTTGTTAATGCCCTTTCCTGATTTTGATATTAGGATGATATTGGCTTTATAGAATTATTTAGGGAGGAGTTTTTCTTTCTGTCTTTTGGAATAGTTTCAATAGGATTTGTCTCAATTCTTCTTGAATGCCTGATAGAATTCAGCTGTGAATCCATCTGGTCCCGGATTTTTTTGTTGGCAGTTTTAAAATTACTATTTCAGTCTTGCTGCTTGTTGTTACCTGTTCAAAGTTTCTGTTTCTTCCTTGTTTAATTTAGAAGGGTTGTGTATTTTGAGGAATTTATCTGTCTCCTCTAGGTTTTCTAGTTTGTGCATGTGAAGCTGTTCATAGTAGCCTTGAGTGATCTTTTGTATTTCTGTGGTATTGGTTGTACTATCTCCTGTTTCGTTTCTAATTGAGCTTATTTGGATCTTCTC